TCGACTTCGTGAGCAGGGCGTAGATGAGAAATAAGCGTAAGGTAGATAAGTTGAATATTAAAACTGGAATATCAAATCATATTCTTAAAATACCAAATCATAAGTAAGATATTTGTGCCTTATAAAAATAATGACGTAAATCATAATACAATATTTTCACTTGGAAAAACGGTGCCGAAACAATGTTATAAAATCGAGTTCAAATATCAAAAACATTACTTGCCATACAAATATGAATAATAATATAAAGTATGCATGCTCCCAAAATATGTGGCATGTAAAGAAATCAAGTGTACGGCCACGTAAAACATTTCAAGTTCGTCAAATAAGTACTGAAAGTTTTTATTCAAACCAAGGGAGTTGCAAAGAAATCTCAACTCTCCACCATGCAAAAGAGTATGCATCGAAAACTCACAAAGCTCTCGAGTAGGTAAGAATCGTAATCACTCGTGGACCCATTTTCACGTAATAACATCCGGGAGCTCTGCTCCACCTGATCCCCACAACCATGGCAATCTCGACGATGTTGGCTCACATTGAAAAAATCAAACTGTTGCAATCACGAATACCACTAGTGGCCTAGCCACATATAACAACTAGCGGCCTTGCCATGTAAATAACAGATTATGGCCCTAGCCAAGTCTAACAGCCCATTGACGACCTAAAGGTTCTCTAGCTAGAGCTCACTTGTGCAAAAAAGTCACACTTAATCGAAGTGACAGCCAGTCTACTCTCTACACTCTTGGTTTATCAAAACTATTTTCAAAACCAAATCTGGTAATATAAGGCTTTTCCCTTTACATCCTTTTAAATTAAGGTTTGATAACCCCTTTGAAATTACCTTTCAAATTAAATGGCATGGCGTAATCATTTGTACGAAGATCAGAATAAAATCGAAGCTCAAAACTTTGCATTCAAAATCGTTTAACAAATGCATTTAGCTATGCATATCACACAAAAATACAAGGCACAGATTTTGATGTAAACATCGTGAAAGGCTTGGTTCTTAGTTTCTAAAACTCTTTACGTGCATAGCTTATCTATAGGTATATCCAAATCACTTTTAAAAACACTTGCATCTATAAACTTTCTATAGTTTCTACCAGTTTATGCTTTCCACAATAATAATATACAAATCATGGTAAATCCATTTAAAATTGCCTATCAAGGCTAACAGCTCATGCTATCCATAAATGCTCTTAAGGAAACCAATCATGTTTATTAACGTAAATTAATATATTATACGGAGATTTTAAAATCGACACCCCCTACTCACCTCACAATAGCTTGACACTACATCGCTATTGATTCAAGTGCGTATTTAGCTAATTTCACTTGCCAGTTACCCATTACCTCCTCCGGCATGCCACCACAGCACACTTTCTTTACTTATATACTTCCTATCAACTATATAAACTCAATACCCTTAATTTATTCACGTGCATGGTAGCACATCAACAAATAATTCCGTAACCTAATCTCATAGTTTTCCTGAATCCTTACTTACAATCATTTAACATACAATCGATAGTCTATCAAATAACCAATGC